ATTCCACCCCTGGAATAGGTAACTCGCCCTTCGTTCGGAGTATCCGAGCCTACAATTAAGATTCGAGATCAGTCCCAGCATTAGGTGTTGTAAGTAATGTGGTTACAGTTATTTAGCACCCTCGTGGCCGCCTCGTGCACAGCAAACAATTTAATAACTTCCACAAATTTAAATGAACGATCTAATATTTATATAAATATTACCTCTGATCATGATCAAAAGATAACCATAAATTGTGCAAACATTTACACCAAAAGTGAAAACCTTTCAAACAATAAAAATTAACGATATTTCCCATACGCTTGATGCATTGAGGTTAAATCATGTCAATTTCAAGAACAAAGGTTGAAAATTATAAACAAATACAAAACGTTGTCTACAGAACACAAATAAATTATAAAGAAATGCAAAGATTACAACGTAACAAAGAGTTATCGTGTTCAAGACGGCGCAGACCGCTCTCCCATTCTAATAAGTCGCGTCATCGTAGGTTGAATATATAGGGTAGAACCTCTCAACAATAACTTGGAACAAATGAAGTTTAAGTAAATGCACATACACAAAGTTGGTTGCGGTTGAGATTAAAAACATGTTTAGGGAACGATGGGCCAGGTAAGCAGGTAACAAACATTCTAGGAAAGGGCGAAGCGCACAGGTTGTGACTCATCTTTGATGCAATAAAATACACTGTGAAAAACTATGGTAAGTTACATGACCTTGGTCATCACATCAAATAAAATATTCCACCCATTGCACTTGTAACTTGGTCCCACGTCCCAAGCCTACAGTAGAGATTGGAGCCTTAGATGTCAGTACTAGCTTGGTTATAGTATTTCTCATGTTCGTTACTAACTTTTCACGGAGAACTACATCATGCGGACGATTTATTGGCTTTCAACACCTTCAGTAATGTCGGGTCACCCTGTATGTCGAATTTCAATATTCTTTTTAAGCGTAAATGTGGTGGTTAATTTGAAATTGGACACAAGATTCGATTGTATCATTTGAATGTGAGGTGAATTGCATTAGATTTAATGATGTGTAACGTTGTTTAAATAATCCCCTTTATTTTATTATGCAAATAGAATTACGTCAAATGTTTTGCTAAAGTTATCTCATTTAAATCCGGTCATTGCAATAAGAAATTGGTTACGGCTGCGCAAGCTATTTAGATTCAAGATAAGTGGGTTTCGCGCATAAGAAAACACAAGTGTTTAATTTATTTGAAGACGCAGTTGGAAGTGGAACAGAAAGGGAAGAATGTTTTAAATAGGAAAAGAGACGCTAATCGTTGCTTTTTTTAGTGGTGGGCGATATTCGTTGATGGTTTTTGGTGGTGGACGTTAATCGTTGCTTTTTTGGTGCTGGAAGCTTTTGGTGTATCGCAGTCAGCGGTAGTTGAGTTTGTTACAAGACAGTCATCGTGCAAGTTGTAGTGTTTTGTAGAAGAATGTTAGCTGAGTGCTCTAAGAGATTTTTTATTACGTTATATAAAGTAAGTGTTTATGTCGAGTTAAAGAAGTGGAGTTTACGAAGAAGTTTAGTCGAAGTGTTGTGTTTATCGAGCGTGTCAAGGTTATTCTACTACTCATGAAAGGAACTTTTTTCCACCATCAAAGAGCCAATTTTAGATCTGTCGTTACAACGACGCCAGTGTTCGTCTAAGTCGAGATTCAAGTGCAATCAAAGAAGTGAAGTTCCGAAGTTCGCAATTCCGACTGGATATTTTGGGTTATTAACACTTTTAATGAATACTTTCTATTTGCATTCTCACATGTACCTTTCGTGTTAAATTAATTGAAGTCGATGCTGGAGCTATGCTTTTGAAATAATCCTTTTTGTACATGCTATTTGCCATTTTACGAGTTGTTTTCCCAAATTGAACAGTACATGTGTTTGGTACTTGATCTGATTTATCGTGTTTTGTACTGTTTCGTTCATGCTGATTGAACTGCATTTAACTTGATTACCTAATTTTAGCTTTCCACTTATGTTTGTGATATCTCTCGTGTTTATTTTTATTACCTAAATTGTTTAACTGCATTTGATTCGATTGCCTGACTTTTATCGTACAATTTGAGATATTTTATTTGTGTATTTCTCCTGCATTTTGTTATCGCACTTGATTTATTTCATGCATTTGTGTGGACTATGCCGGGGTTTTTGTCCCGAAGAAGATTTCGCCTTGTTGTACAATATTTGTTTTTATCTTTTCTTACGCACAAAACTATGCATTCAATTCCCTTCCCGATTATGTCTCATGTACAGTACGTCCTAGCACATAAAAAAACCGATTTAGTAGGTATTAGACAACGTAGCGTAGGAATTCATTTGGGCCATCCACTCCGAGCCAACTGATACCGAGATTCACAAGTGCGCCATTGCGACTTGAAAGCTAGATGTATATTATTTTTCCCCAGAGTTGCCAACTGTAAATCCATTACACCACATTTGGCGCCATCTTGATTACAATTTATTTTCTCTGGAGTATTAGTGTATGAGCCGTTCCAAAGTTGCGCCTTCATAAAAATGAGCCAACACGTTAAGGGCATGTATAAAGTCCTGTAAGGTCAAAGATCAAAGAGTGTGTTGTTGTCAGGGGTTGACCTTGGTAATCGGTAAGGTCAAATGACATGCTGTAAGTTCAAGGCCTATCAGTTAAACTGCTTGTATTAAGTGCTTTAATAATAGACAACAACATTTAATTTAACATGAATTACAGATAGTTATGAAAGCACAATCGGATGTGCCAGTCTATGTGCCTTTAAGCAGTCTATTGTACAAAATTTATTACCAGAGTATTCAAATGGAACTTTCCCGGACATATCACTCGCGCACAGGAAACAGCGCGCTACGACGGTGCCTCCTTGGCTCAAAATGCGACGTTCGGCAGCGAGCGCCCTCTACAACAGGCACAGAATTTCAAAACGTACTTATCAATTTCCTTTACCTTTTCCCGATCGCTCAACTGCAGGAATCTCTCCCTTTCACATTCCTCTTGTTTCTTCAGGACCGTCGCCTTCTTCTTTTCCTTTTCTTTTTCACGCTTTAACTTCTTAACCAGCTTTCTCTTTTCCAGTTGTTCGTCGGTTAAAACAGCGGGTATGGGAATTTGCGCCTATACCAATGAAAAGCAGTTAAGTATTCGGTCGATTACCCCTCACTCACCTTGTTATAGTTGTACTTCTCGGGAAACTCGGAGGCGAAAGTTTTGAAAACTGTCCGCACATCTCCGTCTTGTGTGGAAGAGTATGGGGTTTGTTGACTACTATTTCTTAAGCAGGGATCTGCATCGTGTTCTAATAGGTAACGGATCAAATCGAATTGTCGATGCATCGCTGCTATGTGAAGCAACGAGTTGCCGTGCGCGTCTATTACTTCATTTATCACACTACTTTTGTTATCACTTTCATCGTCTGGTATTTTTGCATTTTTGAGGTACAATTCGAAATTTGGAATGTTTCCAAGTTGCATTAATTCGTACACCTTTGCCTTGTGAAGCGCCTCCCGCTCCGCTTGGCGTTTATTTCTGGACTTGGTTTTCTTCGGTTTCTTTCTTCGTCGTTCCTCTAGAGTCAAAGAGTCGTCGAAATTTTCCAGAAGACTTTTCGTCGATATTTCTTGCTCAGAAATGTACAAGTTGTCCTCGGATGGGATTTGGTCAGTTCTTTCCAAGCTGTTACTGCGCGACGCCGGGTATGCTACAGGAAGAGGTCTCTCGACATTTTCACGCGATTTTGCGCGGTTGATATTGTTGTTTTTCACTTTGCTACGTTTCGGGGAGGTCTCCTTTACTTCGTGTTTTAAAACATCATCCAAAGTTTGTGATGACTCTATCAATCTGAATATAAGTGAGGCTTTTTTACCTTGGGCGACTCACCATAGAGTGTTGCACATGATAAAAGACCGTGAACCCTTTTCACTTCTGTAAATGTGGCCCTTCTTGTTGAAAATGGAACGGTTCGTAGACGACTATCTGACCGGTTTAGTAGAGGTACCTTCCCACTGAACAGGATAGACTGATTGTAAGCTCCAGTCGCTCTGTATATTATCAAACCACTGTTTGCTATTTCTTGTTGCCAGGTTTCAAGAATGTCGTGCACATGCTGCAAGAGTCAATTTCATTCGAATCGTAAGAACAGCAGTAGTGCGTAGAACTTAGTTACTATCGTCTGGGTCATTTGTCAGGGAAGTTTCGATTGATAAATTGAAGAGACATTCCAATTGAGTTGACTCATTGACTGGAAATTCTTTCTTCTAGAAAGATGAGGAGTGTACTTGTACCTACCAGGCCGCATAATTAACAATTCTTTAGGGACGGGGCTACATGATGTGGGGTTGGCGACATCCGGGCGCCATCCCCGAGCGTAGTTTACTAAAGTGGTAATTTTTTAGTTTTTTCCTATCTTCTTCTGCAGGAAAAACTGAAAAATCACCACGTTAGTAAACCACGCTCGGGGATGGCGCCCGGATGTCACCGACCCCACATCAAGTAGCCCCGCCCCTACAGAATTGTTAATTATGCAGCTCGGTAGGTACAAGTACACTCCTCATCTTTCTACAAGCGATCTTCTACGAGGTCTCATTTGCTGCCAAGCAGCTAGCCCGCCGGCCAAAGTGAGATTAAAAGCCATCGTTTTACAAATAAATTAGCAAAAAATGCGTTAAAAAGAGATAATTACAAAAAAAAGTTAAATCACTGTTTGCTGCTAAACAATGGCCCAGCTAGACGGTCCTAAAACTGTCGTCTAACTTCAAATTCAATATGGGCATGGCTTTAGCCATATAGTACGCAATGCCAAAAGTTGAGTCGAATTGAATCAAAATTCACAGTGCCCTTTTCGCATCTTGACTAATTACAAACCGAATTGCAAAATTTTTTATTGATGGAAGCATTTAAATTAAATTTGATACATAGCCACTTGAATAAAGGAAAATCTAACGTTAGTTTCAAAATTTAGGTTTGCGCATGCGCAGTTCCAACTTTCTTATTTAGAAAAGCATTGAAATGAAATTCTTCTTATAAACTGAAATTGAAGTAGGACATCAAAATGGATTGCACATATGCAACGCTATCTTTCATAGTTGTGGCCGGATTTTTACGATTTTAATAGAAGTTGCATCTGACAAATGAGAAATGAATGCAAGTGGAAATGCACTTTTTGTAAATCGGTTACGATTACTTATTTAACTTGTTGTCTTTAGTATTGAGTGGGCGGGGTTTCAGCTAAGGCTGCTTTACCAACCTAACCCACTACACATTTACAAATACCCGTGCCCGTACCCAGATTCGAACCAGGGACCCTTGGTACCGCAGCCCACCTTCAACTCAACTGCGACACACGGGCCGGCTTAAGAATGATGTTATTGTTTGTAAAAACATCCAATCACATGTCTTAACAACACTGTTAGCTGACAACATAGTTAAGCATGCTGTATGGCTTTATAATACGGGCCGATAATCATTTTAAAATTAACAATTTTGTGGTTTTCCCTGTATTTCTTACCCGAGCGAAAATTTTGATTTTACGGTATTAAGTTTTAAAGTTTAAAAAGAGCACATGCCCAAAAATAAGTTACAACCAACAACTTTTTTTTAAATGAAAATACATTTTTATTTTCCTTTTAGAATTTTACATAGTGTTTCATGTACAGGGTGTACCATTTTCGACACTTTTATAGGCGTTATGGGCTCTTTTTGGGTCAAACTTGTAATGGTAAAATCAAAATGTGCACATTTTTGCTTCAGAGATATGGAAATAAATCAAACAATTTTCAATTTCAGAATGACCGTATATATTCTTAGTAAAAACAGAAACAAAAAAATGTTTCTTGAAAATAAACAATTATACAGTACTCGGGTAAAAAAGTTATTGGATCTAACTTAATTTTATTTAAATGGCATACCCTATATATTTCAATCTAAAAATAGCATATTAAATTCTGTTTTTTAAATATAACACTGAAAAAATTCAATATCGATTCAAAAAAATTCAAAAAAGATTTCTTAAAAATTCAAAAATTCGTTTGTAGTAATTTCTAATTTTTTCAGTGTCAGAAAAAAAAGCGATAGTTCGTAGAAAACAGTTCCTATTGTTGAGACCTTTATTTAGAATACCATGAATGGGTAAAACGTGTGGTTGCCCCCCCCCCCCTGCCTTTCCCATTTTCAAAAGTTTTACTTGCCACTAAAGGCATGCGCATGTAAAATGGTATTAGACTCTATTAGAGTAACGTCGAAATTGAGCGGGAAATTCGAAATGCTGGACTTGGCGGTTTTACTGTCAAAGATATTGACCCCTATTATCCCCCCATACATTAAGTATCACTTTTAAATAGGCCCTCTTTACGGGCCTATACTGACCTTACGCGCATTAAATAAGCATATCGACCCTCTTATATCGAAACACTGATTACTTAACTTTAGAGGCAAGTAAACGACCAAATCTCGCATTTGGGAAAATGTAAACACAAGAACAAGGTCATGATCATTCCATATTGCCAACCGTAAAGTGTAAATATGGTAGACATATCTTTAATTTTTAATTATAACGCAATTAATTGATTTTATTTAAGGATTATTGCTCTGTTTTAAAGTAAAGTAATCAGTGTTTCGATATAAGAGGATCGATATGCTTATTTGATGCGCATAAGGTCAGTATAAACCCATAAAGAGGACCTATTTAAAAGTGATCCTTAATGGATAAGGCAATAGGGGTCAATACTTCCGACAATAAAACAGACAAGTCCTGCAATTCGAATTTCGAGGGCTATTATGACGTAACCACTAATAGACTCTATTGGTTGTCGCATGTAAAAGTTTAGAACCCTTCCCGTAAAAGTAGTTTAACACGACAAAAGTGGTTCCTGACCGACGGAGAACACGCAAAACAATAGCACCAACGCTAAAAAAGTACAATCTTTGCTGATCAACTTTCATTGCATTGCTGGTTACTGATTAGATTGTAGAGCATATGTGGTCTGGTAAGAATAAGATGCAAGTTATCTCCAGTGATGAAGAATGGAAGAAACACCTCACACCGGAGAGCTTTTATAATTTCAATTTCTAGATATCAAAATTAAAACCTTTCTTTCCTAATTTTTACGCGTTTTGTTTTGTCATATTTCTTCGAATTATGTGAATTATCTTTTACACATTGTATAGAAAGTGTCATATTTCATAGTAGATTAGATTGTACACTTGCAGTTGAGTGTTGACCATTACAGTAAATGTCGTAAATTGTTCCATTGCTGAAACCAAATAAGTACGTTGGGCGTTCGTTGAACTGTATTTCGGTTGAAATTGTATTTATGTCTTAAAACGTAGAGAAAAATTTTAATGAAACTCTAAAGTCTAAACTGTGAGAGTGAAGGAACTACGTGCGTTTTTCCAAACTAGATTTACAAGAACGCATTTCGTAACTAGGCGCTCCTCGACTAACTATAGCGCCATCTCAGAACGAAGGGACCGCATATCAGCACACTAATGAATGTACGAGTTTCTATTTTTACGGTTAGTTACACCCCTTTAAAAAGCAGATGACAGCATCTTCTGAGCGAAAATTAGCAATGCCAGTTTATCCTATTTGTTTGTAACTCTTATTGTATTTCCTCTATGGTTCTACTGAGGATACTGTCTATTTTACCAGTAAAAATAAGCCCACGCAAGGGAATGGTAACGGTAAGGGCGGTGGGAGTTGCGACAAGTCAAAGAAGTTTGTCCCAAAATGTTACAAATGTGGCGAGTTAGGTCATTATAAATGGGACTGTAAAAATTCCAAGATCTGAAGAGTCAGGAAGGGTCTGCGTTTGTTAGCCAATCAGATATCGGCAAATCTACTACATATCTTTTTATCATTAATTACTTAACCGCAGATCTCATTACCTACTCACTTGTACTAAAGCAGTTTCATTATATCTCCTCAATGACGCCCCTGCGCTTTTGCACTGCGATCCCGATCGATTATCTTTGGAACTCTGAGAACCGCCCTGACCCGCCCGAACTGTGTAACAGTGGAAAGTTTTGTGTAATATCGGTGTAGACCCTCGAAAAACTGCGCCCGCAAAATGTCCTCCGCCCAGCATAATGACCGTCCACTGATTGTTTACGTTACACTCGCGCAACCTATCCAGAAGTACATTATTATCCAATTCTTCCTAAAAGTCGTAGATTTTTCATATAGGTACGCCGGATGAAGGCCTAGTCACCTTTTTTGCAAAAAGTAAACACCTATACATCGAAAATACAACTCCTTGACTAGTTTTAAGAAATATTTTTCCTTGCGAGGTAGCAATACTCTCCAAGTTATCCTCTTTCTCAGATTCCGAACCCGATATGCTGGATACGTCATCTGCAAATCAGTTTTAATACCTACTCCCAAAAAAAATTGGTATAACTTGCCTGCTCTCTCATTGAATTCTTCTTCGGTAAGAGGGGAGCGCGACAGTAAACTTTGCTTCAGATTATACCTGTGCCAGTCCAATTTGTAGTGCTCCCTTTGCTGCTGAACGTCATTAAATGAGGTCTTGCAGTACGAACAAATTAATCCCGATACGGAACTTGGGGTCCACTTCTCCGGCGCCTCTTTTGTTTCTGAAAGTAAACAAGAATCGCCGATAATTATCAAAGATCGATCAGGGCGAATATACCTACCTCTAGCTTCGGATGCCACCATTTGCAGAAATTTGACTTCATCGCCGATTAGTTGTTTGAAAGAGGAATCGAAGATTTGCACTTGGGCCATGGTTCTAAAATTAAAATATGGATATATTAGGATTGGTCACTAATTAAGATTTATGCATATGTTAATAGTTATTAATGATACAAGTTCGTTTATGGACGTCATTAATAACGTTCATATAGAAAGTGTATCACTCAAAATTCAATCTACGACGGTCCAAATGAATTTTATTCAGATTTTTGAGTTATCTAAACGTTTTCGTAAATTAAGATTCAAAATTATCAAGTGTGCATACTAGTGGATGTCATGGTAATCGCGTTTGTCAATTTTGACGTTTGCTATAGAAAATAGCGTGCTTTTATTATGAACACTAGTGCTTTTATGAAAGCCGTAATGACATCCAATTGGCCATGCTAAATCAGTCATAAAAGGCCGGCTAGGATTAACTTTTAATTAAAAGGATCCTTCTGATCGATCGAAACTACCCGGTATGAAGAACCAGTTAGTCCAAGAGCCCAGTAGGAAAGTATACCTTGAACGCCCGGACGATTCTAGTAATTTTCATAGGATTCGCCATAAAAAGTTGCATTAGAATCGACAACGGCGCCGGCGAAAATCCTGCCGAAAGCAGTAAAAAAAAATTATATTCGCCCCTTATTTTTGGAAAATGTACTTTATTATCCCGGACGTTCAGGAAGAGTACTAAAGGGTGCATATGGATGAGTTTTATCGGAAAAAGTCACGGTGCCGGGCCGCAACCCTTGGCACCGCGACTACAATAATGGGGTGGTAAATCGTACTAAACTACCTTTTTCTCCCGGACCAAAATGACCTATGTGAAATATGTAGCTTGCGATTATACGAATATAAAAAACCAACGGTGCCGACTCTCAGGATGCTGGAAGTCATGGGCACCGTCGATCGAATAATAATAATAATAATATGACACCCGTCCACTGATATAACTCCACAAAAGTGTGAAATTTAAATAATAATAATAATAATAATAATAATAATAATAATAATACGCATACCGATATGACAATTCACAATGACATGTGCAGTGCAGACGAATTGCAGCCGCGTGCCGAAAGTATGTAAACTTCAAACTTTCTGCACTACAGTTAGCAAGCACCAATAGAAGCGCAACATATTTGTTGCTGTTGTCGTTGATTGGTCATACTTGTGTAGGCGGGCCAATTTTGTGGTGATTGTGAAAGCTAAATGTCAATATGACAGCACCAGCCCGCACCGCACAACAAGGCAGCGGCACCGCACTACCACCTATCTGAATGGGGCTTAACACTTCTTTATTACATAAACTTTTCCCCAAATACGTGGCACTTCTCCTTAACTCGATCTCGACTATTCAATTTACGATGACGTACTTTAAACCTCGAAATTCACCACCTAACCTTCTTCCATAAATATTTACACAAGCTGACAATATTTATTACATCCCAAAACCGAGAAGCCGGGAGCATGGCTCCAACCAATGGACCCGCCCAACGATCCAAATACGGCGGCGGCCGTGGTCCCGACTTCACACACACGGCCCAAGGCGAAAAGCGCACGACGCAAAAGCAAAAGGTCACGTTACAACACTCCCTCTTCCATTTAACACATTTCCCTCTCCTGTCCCATCTTACAATCCACTTCCTTATTCTTTAGTTAAAATACACAAAAACCTAATCTAAACCGCGCACCTGCGACAACACCTGTTTATAAAATTAACTTTTAACGATAAGCCCAACTCTTATCTACGATGGGATAAAAACATGAGATAAACTTTTCAAATATTACGCAATATATTTCAAAATGTACTTTTTACTAGTACATAGTAATAACCGGATCAATAATGGGAGATAAATAAATAAATAAATAAATAAATAAATAAATATATATTTATTGCTCAACAGCAAAGCCAGTTACAGAGCAACATCACAATTAATCTTACCTAGTGGGCACGTGCTAGTAAACACATGCATACTAAACTTAAAACATGTAAGAACAAAAAAAAAAGGTAACATAAAATAGGAGATGCATGTAAAGACGCGGTTCCTAGATCTCGGTCACAAATAACTAAATAACAATGACGTGTTACGTATAGAGTAAGTCGAGGAGTAAGTTATACATCATGTACTCTCGTAAGCACTTTTGACATTGCGTATTATATGGCTGAAGCTATGCCCATATTGAATTTCATGCAATTCAGTTCATAACTAACGGAGATGTAAAAGCGATCGGACATTTCTAAACGAAGTTATCGTTCACACGGACAGATAGAGGGACAGACAGGCAAAGGAACAGACGGGCAGACCAACAGACAGACGACAGACAGCAATACAAAATTATAAACGATCTCTAGGATCGTTAATAAACGGCAAAAGTGTAAAATTATGGAGCATGTAAAAAAACGGGTTTTTTGGTTTTTTTACAATAACTTTTTTAGCAATAAACGCAGAAAAAATTCCTTCCTTGGTGCAAGCCTCGACACCATATCGAACCAAATAGCAAAAAAAGTAGAACAAGTAGCTCTTAAGATAAAAAACTAGTAGCGTCTCAACGAACGAGCGGACGGACGGACGAAGGGACGGACGGACAAAGTGGCCACAATAGCGCTTTTTTTTTGTGGAAATGCGCTAAAAAATGTTTTGAACCATTTTTCCAATTTTTATGAAATTTTAGTCTTCCATTTAAGTGCCTTTTCTGGCGACTTCGTTGCGCAAATTGTTGGCCTACTTGCCACCAGCTCGCGCCTCCACTACACGTAGGTCGGATAGTTTTCGGACATACCTCGTATATGAAGATGCACAAGTATAAATCCTAACTATAAATTTGAGGTTGTACAAATTATCTAGTGTAGACAAACAAAAATAAATAACAATTATCAATTTATCAGGTAGTACAGGGTGTCCCATTTCGACACTTTTATAGGGTCTCCGTAATTGTTAGTGCTATCGAAATAGTTATTTACATACAAGTCCGGAAAATGATACATTACTGGCGAGGAAATATTGAAGTGCGAGGCCCCTTTGGGACCGAGTACTTTAATTTCCGAGTAAGGTAATGCTATTTTACTGACGAGTTTTGTATTAAATATCCGAAATCGTATTTTAATATAAAATTTCAATTTTCATATAGAACTTTTGATTAATGTCAATCTGTCAGTGATGACATGAGTCATTGTAGACAGTTAGCAACGTCACAAATGCGGCCGGTAAAGTGACGGTGCGGCCGGTAAAGTGACAGTGCGGCCAGTAAAGTGACAAGCGGCAGGAAACGTAGTCTGATCTGCCTCTGTCATGGAAACTACAATTTCCTGACAGAAAGTATAGGCATGAAAATGAAGGTTACAGAACGATTTTGGGTAAAAGTTTCTAATAGGCGTCATGTGCTCTTTCTGTGAGTCTTTTTGGGTCAAACTTAAAATGGCACGCCCAAAATTTGAAAATTAAAAAATTGTTAATTTCAGAATTACCTCAAGAATATTTTAAACGGTATATTTTAATCTAAAAAGATGGGATATTAAATTTTCTCTTTAAAAATATAACACAATAGGAATGATATTAACAAAATACAAGTGACTCAGAAAACTTCAACAGGATTAAAAAAAGAAAGAAAAGGTTCAAATAATTAGATAACAATTTTTTTGAATCTTTGAATTTCTTTAGTGTTATATTTTTGGAAAGAGAATTTAATGCTACCTTTTTAGAATAAAATATAAAGGGCGTTCCATTAAAAAAATAGGTCATATCGAAAACAAAATTTACAATGATATTTTTTAAATTTTATTTATTTATTTAAAAAATGAGGTTAGGCCCATTTTTTTTAACTAATAAAATAAAGGATCATTCTGAAATTGACACTTTTTTGATTTCCCCCCGTATGTGTTCACCGAGTGAAAATTTTCAGATTTTGATTTTACCATTTTAAGTTTGATCCAAAAAGAGCACAAAACATCATAGGTGAGATCCTAGGTATATCCCTTTTTGAATGGCACATTACGGAGATATTTACTCTCGAGAAGGGCATTTTCTTGATCAGTAGGCTTGCCAGATTACAAGGAAATTTTCCAAATCATTTACAAAGCTAGGTCTTCCTTAATGTGGTATGTTGGTTATGCATATCATAAATAGGTGTAGTAGACAATTACTTCTGTACTTACTACGAAATGAAAAATCAAGTATGATCTTTGCTTCTACCCATTCCTTATTACAAATTAAAGGCTTTAATACTGAAAGCTTTTATTAATCATATTCTACATAGGTCGTAGGATAAATCTAAAAACTTGCCTTATAGGTAAAGTTGCCAATGTTAATATAATAAAACTGATTCTCAGATCTCACACAAGAGTCACCAACTTAAAAATATATCAATAAATTAAAATCAACCAACTGCCCTTTCACCTACCCTAATTTAAATTTAAAATAAATAAAACCAGTATAAAAATGAACCTTAAATACAGTGCAATGAAAAAATGACTATTATACCAATTTAATACTTGTTAAAACATCTGCAGATCTAAATTTCCAAACTGAATCCGCGGATAAACATATATCCGCTCACCAAAAATCCGACAACTACGGCGAACACGTAATTCAAATGAAACATGTGACCGGACTGCGCCCTACAAACAAAACCGATAGATCCCCTAGCGTGATGGTTAAGCACTCACTTATATTTGGAAGGCGAAATCGGACTTGGTGGTTGTATACCCGGTACGCTCGAGTCAATGTAAACCATTAAACCGGTGAACCAAGTGGCCAAACTTCCGCAAACTATCGGGAACCAAAACCAGCTATACCTCAATGCGGTTACCCACGCATGGCGCACTACCACCTCGCCGTCCGTTACTATAGTTTCGTACGTTACGAATCGTTTCTCGAACAACATGCTTCGAAGACTCTCATCTAAAGGTCATGGAATGAGCTATCGATTGTAAAAGACGAGTTACTTACGGTTCGCGTATAAAATTTTCGAGGTCAAAATAATCAAAGATATAATAAGGCCACAGAGACCTAACCTCCATTCACTTATCACAATGTTTTGATTTTCGCATTTTTTCGGTTGTAAGTGGTGTATGCCGTTTTTGTACTTTCCGTTAAAGCGTAACATTTTTATAAATAGATTATTAATACTATATTTTTAGGAATGATGTAAACATTAATTAATACTTTTCCATACCTGATAAATCTGTCCAGTGCCTACAAGCACAAATGTTTCACAAATATTTATGTGGCACAATCTCCAACCTACGCTCACTGTGTCCAAAGTAAATGTGGTGTGACACCCTCAATTTTTTTCTCGTGTGGAATGTCGTGATGCAATATTATGACACTTTGTGCCGCTAATCATCAGAAATATCAATTTTTTATTTTGTGGTTAGATATCAATCATGCACACCTTTCTACTGCTGCAGTTCTAAAAATGTCGCCAATATGTTGAAGATTCAGAAGAGATTTTAGAATATCTAAATGCATCCATAGGCATATGAGAGTAGGTATAGTACCTATATGCCTATATAAATGCATCACGATACAGGGCAACCAAAAGAATTTTATAATCAATACAAGTTCTACAACCCATAGGCCAGTCAAAACCGGCACGAAAAATCACTACATTGCCAGTCTCTGATTTTTATCACCCGAATGTTACTAATGAAGATATTACATCCGGGTAAAAAATGATCATCCGCCGATTTTGTTGACGGAAATACAGGTTTTCGAGCACAAGGACCCCGAATCAAACACAATCTCGATTATGTCGGTAGGTCTGTCTGTCTGTACTCTGTCATTTCCGGTGAAACGGCTGGACTGATTTGGATCCAACATTTTCGGATTTTTCAACGTTTGCTCTATATCTCCTAAACTATACATTTTTCGACGAAACCCACCCACTATATACCGCGTGTCCCAGATAAACAGAAGTAATGTATTTTTTCGCGAAGGATCCACGAGACCTTTGATATGTATTTGAAGTTATCCATTCACAGTACGTTATTGCGTAATTTCAAAGACCTCGTGGATCTTTCGTGAAGAGTTTTTGCAGAGCATTGAATATGTGACATTTAGATATTTTCCCAGAAATGTCCTTTAGCCCAGTTTCATGAAGTCATAGATTTGATTTAAGGCAGAAATCCGAGTTGGTTAAATTGTAGAGGTAGGTACCATCAATGATATTAGTCGGTAATTAGCTATAATTAGTGCAGAAATGGTAGTAGAGTGGCTAGTAACCTTGAGTATACTAGTTGATATACTGTATACAAAAGGGCTTCGATAACAAAGAATGTACATGGACTGTAAATTGCTTCCAATGTCTTTTATGATGGGTATGAATCTTTAACTCTGTATCTTTAAAGATTCAGAGTCTGTTGTTCCGGAATCACTCGAGACGATTTTGCTGAAACACAAACGCTATAAATACGAAGGATGAATGAAAAAATTTGTGTTCATCTCCTCCATCAAGATAGACCCAATACCAAAGAATACATTAGTTACTCTTTGCCAATACCTACCTGTCTCGAAAGTTTGGATCCAAACATCTGGTGAACCTCTTTGTGCAGTTATGGGTGGCTACAATGAAGCTATGCTGGTTAAAATACATTCTTTTAGCAATCTTAAGATATAAACAAACACATTGCAAATGGTTTGCCCAAAAAAATAAAGTCAATAGACTACCTACCCTTAATTAAAATTAATGTAATTAATATTTCTGTCTGCTTCTATCACATAGAGAGAGCGCATGCGCACTCTCTTACATCAAGGCGTACACCACTACTACCTAATAGCAGCTTTTACGCTGCGTCGTTCTCTTTTACACGGAATAATACACATGTTTCTCTCTTGCGCGTTACTTAAAACTGCGACAACCGTGTACTATAGTCGATCCGTTATTACTATTCCGATATGTAATTAACCCCACTAAATGCAGAGTTAACTTTTTTTTACCTCACGTCGTCGATTAAACATAAACAGTTCTATTAAACAAACTGCATCGCGTTATTGTTGACGTGCAGAATAAGAATGAACAAAATACGATACCGCAACGGTTAAGCGATTCTAGGTCGTATCGCCTACGTCAAAGAATGTTAATTAAGGTGAATTTCGCTTGCATTCAGTTTTGTTTACAGTAATGTTGTTTACGCCTACCTGTTGCAATTAAACTGCAGTTTTAAAAATTTTTTCGAATCGGATGCTTAATGCCTGAGACCGATACAAAGTCATATCCGATTCGATAAAATTTTTAGAAAAACTAGAAAAACCAAAAAATAACACACAATTCATCAAAAAAATTGTCCTACCAGCTCAACAAAGCAAAATTGGGTAAAATAAATGTAACGGTAGCTCTTGGACTTATTTAAAAATTTTTTTTGTATAGATGTACAGATAAAAAGGAGTCTGGAATTAACAATCGTCTTTTGATTTCTATATCACATTGTTTTCTTTATGGGTTCCGGAAGTGTGGAGATCACATGTCGCAGTAATAAGAGCTAAAATGTTTATTTTAATTGGGTTTTTAAGGTGCAGAGTAAACATGATGTCATTTTTGTAGTGTGAAATATGGAACATGGCATAGGTTGATAGTACCTATAAAGAATTGATTTATTACCTTAACTTTCGTTTAATTCGTAGAAACAAAGAAAACGAATCAACGATTAAAGATGGCCGGTTTTCGTTACTAAAAAGACATTTTGTAGGTGTTATTTAAACAGAAAATAAATTAAGGGGGGATTATTCCAAGAGATAATTCATTCATTCGGGTATTTTGAACCACGGTCGCGTCACGTGATCTCTAGTAAAATATGAAAAAGGTTTGCATTGGGCCGCCGATGTGACCAGTGCTAAAAAAGGCTTTTTGAAATGCCAAATCAATTCAAGACTGTGAACATATATTAGAACTTTTCGTACTTATTGAAGTTATGGAGTGCGCACCTGATAATGTGCCAAAAGAATACTTGTGTATTCTGGGCAGTCCCTCGACAGTTGTAATGAAGTCGTGTGGTAAACTGTTCGAGTTCCAGAGAGTATAACTAAAGAAAGAAAGAATCAAATAAGTTTTTTGAGCAACGGGAAGCTACGCGAAGACGGATTTTTGTTCATGTCATGGTAATTGGCAATGAAGGATAACTAATGAGCGTAATAAAAAAACTTTCAGTTTTCAAAATGTATCTGAATCTAATTGGATGAATTTGTGCACTAAAGGATTTAATTTGAATTGTGGCTAATAGAAAAGTAATGAAAAAAAACTTTTATGTTATTACCTACGCACTTAAGCAATTATAAATGGTTGTACTTGTAATACTCGACCGTGAAGGGTAATAAATTAAGTCTCCATAAATATGATTGAAAAGTTAAGTATCCCTTTGACATTACGGCAGTTAACTATTAGAGAAAGAATAATAATTTATATTTATTTGCTTTCGCTATTGTATCTTGAACTTTGAAGACAGGGACAGGATTGTCACCTCTAATTTTTCTTTTGATCCATGCGGAATTTTAATTACACGTCACTTAATCATTTTTGAATGTCTTCCCTGCAATAAAAACCAAATGAGTGGTGTTCTAAATACCATCATCTCAAGGTTTCTGTTGCTTCAAATTTGTGAAACAAATCCAAAATTTCAGAACATAAGTACTGTTTTGCCATGTCAATTGTCAGTCCTCGCAAAACGGGGGCAGTACCTAGGTATTCACGTGCTGTTGTAGCATTTAGGGTGACTTAGAATCTTAACTGGCACACGTATTCATCAATTTCAGTTCTTTTAAGGCACATACTAAAAAATCGTAGGTTCCTAATAAACCTATTACAGACGTTTCGAATTTAGACAACCTTCTTTGTAACGTATTTGCGACAAATTGCAACATTTGAGATGTTGGTCGATCGAATCGCAATTTTTTTAAATACCGTAAGTTACTCGTGGTGAACCACGGATTGGCTGGCGTACTCAAACACCACCGCAGGTCCGGCTTCATATAAGCAGACCCAACGCGGGTACCAGTACCTTGAGTCGGGCAATGGGCAAAGGGCGGGAGTTTAACTCGGCATCAGTACCCTACGTTTCTCTAGACCGTCCGCTATCCACCGGTAGTCAGCCGAGGCGCAGACCCCCGTGCACCCTTCGTACCTTGTGTATACAGGGTGGTAACTTGCGTAACGCATCAATAGGGATTTCAATGTAAAATTCATAACATGCGATTATTGGCTCTCCAAATTATGTTAGAGCAAAAATGTATTAAGGTTTTTTGTAGAAAAATTTTTTTTACGTCAATCAACCGTATTAGTTTTCAATTATTTGCATAATAAAGACGGAAACTTGGAAAAATAAAACCCCCATCTTTTTCAATAATCTACGATGCCATGGAATTTTCTACGTTACGCAAGTCACCACCCTGTATATAGATAGATGTATTTATAGTGTATATTGTTGTGTAAACAGCATCAGGTGGACGTTATAAGGCGGAAATAATACCGAAGATAATAACGGACAACGACGACTGTTTTAATTTAATCTGAAGATTTCGTTACTTATAAGCACAGGATTGGTTTATTTGATCGGAATTTGATATTTTAGCGTATATTTTTTTTACTTTAGAAGTGTTGTTAATTGCATAATTTCTTTTAAATTTTACCATTCGTGTGAATTTGTTTATTTACATTGTAAGCTGCAAAAATTGCGTTATTTAAAATTGAGGAACTGCTGGTGGAGTGCATTTAAGTGTTATACGGTTCCGGTCACAAAACATAGAATTCTAAGTTTCGGCAACGCTTATGCGCTTGGTTTTCAGTCGTCTGTCTGTCTGCCTGTTCCATCGAGATCTCGGCCCCTGGACCACCTAGAGACTTCGGGTTTTCGCTAATTGATAGCTGCTATGGTATATATTTGCCCGTTATTCATCATTTACATTTGTGTTACGCGGCAACACCCCCCCCCCCCCCCCCCCCCACAACACAGTCCTTACATTGGACGTCCATATTTGATCCATTTTAGGTTACGACGTCCATGTAGGAAAAGTGTACGCACTGTGGACGTCCGATGATTCCGTCTTATGGAACATTTAACAGATGGTCCATAAAATAATTACAATATACGTCCAATGGACGTATGTTCCAAATCACAAATTCGAATACATATACACGCGACTGCATTAGCATTTTTAGCGCATTTCCACAAAAATAAAAAAAAAATGCGCTATTGTGGCCACTTTGTCCGTCCGTCCGTCCGTCCGTCCGTCCGCTAACTTTGCGACGCTACTAGTTTTTTATCTTAAGAGCTATTGTTCTACTTTTTTCGCTATTTGGTTCGTTATGGTGTCGAGTCTTGTACCAAGGAA